CCCGCCCATCTGCATGTGCCGCTGAGGAGAATGACGTCCCAACTGTGTAGTTCCGCGCTGATGTCCTCAAGTCGTCCTATGCTCGCTGCCTCTTGTGGGTTGTAGTAGCAGATTATCATGCCTAGGCGCACGGGCTCGCCATGCGGGCCCCCCAGTCTCCCCTGCCCCCGAGGCCTGCGGGTGTGGGCGCAGAATCGCTGGTGTACGATTGTACTTGAGGTGCGGTCGGTCGACTCTTGGGCACCTCAAACAGCGACTAGGAGGAGGAGGAGGAGGAGGAGGAGGAGGAGGAGGAGGAGGAGGAGGAAGAAGAGGGGGAAGGAGGAAAAGGAGGAGGGGGGATGAGGAGGAGGAGGAGAAGGAACGCCTGCCGCTCAAGTTCTTCACGCCCCTCGTTTTGCGGCTCCTCACGCCCAAGAGGAGGAGGAGTAGGGGGGGGGAGGGAGGAGCTCTCATTCTCCTCCTCATCATCCGCTTTTTTACATAATTCCTTATCCTCCTCGCTTCTCCTCCTCCTCCTCCTCCTGCCCCTCCTCCTCCTTCTTTCCCCCCTCCTTCATCCTCCTCCTCCTCCAAATCCTATTCGCACTCCTCCTACCTCCCCCTCCTCCTCCTCCTTCCCCCCGACCCTGCGGCGGGCGCCCTGGCGCCGATCCAGCAGGCGCCCCCCGCGTCGCGGCGGGGCGGCGGCGGCTCTTGCTGTCCCTCCATATCTCTCTCTCTCTCTCTGTGTCTCTCTGTTTCTCAATGTTTATCTCTCCTGGTTTCTCTGTCTCGTGCCCCCCGTCCCTACATCTGAATGACTCGTTCTATACTATCTAACTCTCTATCGCTCTCTCTCTCCCTCTCTCTCTCTCCCCTGCTCTCTCTCTCTCTCTCTATCTCTGTATCTATCATCCCTCTCTCTCTCTCTCTCTCTCTCTCTCCCTCTCTCTGTCTCTGTCTCTTTCCCCCTACATATCTCTGACCCGCTATATAATATCTAGCTCGCTCTCTCTCTCTCTCTCTCTCTCGCTCTCTTTCTCTCTCCTTCGCTCTCTGTATTTTTTTTTCTCTCTCTCTCTCTATCTCTCTCTCTCTCTCTCTCTCTCTCTCTCTCTCTCCCTCCTCTCTCCCTCTCTCCTCCTATCTCCCTCTCCTCTCTCTCTCTCGCTCCCTCTATCTTTCTCCCTCTCTCTCTCTCTCTTCTCTCTCCTCCCTCCTCCCTCCTTCCCTCCTTCCCTCCCTTCCTCTCTCTCTCTCTTCTCTCTCTCTCTCTCTCTCTCTCTCTCTCTCTCTCTCTCTCTCTCTCTCTCTCTCTCTCTCTCTCTCTCTCTCTCTCTCTCTCTCTCTCTCTCTCTCTCTCTCTCTCTCTCTCTCTCTCTCTCTCTCTCTCTCTCTCTCTCTCTCTCTCTCTCTCTCTCTCTCTCTCTCTTCTCTCTCTCTCTCTCTCTCTCTCTCTCTCTCTCTCTCTCTCTCTCTCTCTCTCTCTCTCTCTCTCTCTCTCTCTCTCTCTCTCTCTCTCTCTCTCCCCCCTCCCCCCCCCCCCCCCCCCCTCTCTCGCGCTCTGGAGGGCAAGAGGAGGAGGGAGGGGGGGGAGGAGGGGGGAGAAGAGGAGGCGGAGGGAGGAGCTCATCCTCCTCCCCATTCTTTTTTTACAGCATTCCTCGTCCTCCTCGCTTCTCCTACCCCCTCCTCCTCCTCCTGCCTTTCCTCCTCATTCTCCCCTCCATCCACCATCCTTTTCCCCCGCCTCCTATTCGTGCTCCTCCTTGTTTCCTCTCCTCCTCACCCTCCTCCTTCTCCCCGACGCTGCGGCGGGGGGGGGGGGGGGTGCGCTCTGCTGTCGGCGGAGCTGCGTCGGCACTCTGATATCGGCACGAGCGTTTTTCAAGGCGGCCCCGCCGAGCTCTCCCACGACCGCAGCGCGAAGGCGCTGCACCCGTCGTCGTTGCACCAAGCTCTGGGCGGGGGGCGCCTAAGAAATCGCACCAGCATCACACTCGAGGATCTTGTTGAACCACGTGAGGCGCTCCTCCCACATCTGCTTGCCCCTCCTCTGCTGGAATGTCGAGCCGTTCAGCGCGACAATCGCGTTCTTGAGATTATCCGAGAATCCGTGCCAGCTCTTGACCCACAAGGCAAGTGGAGAATGTGAGCAACCTCCTTCTATGTCTTCGTCTTCTTGTTGTTGGCCGTCATGGCGATGACGTAGTAGAGGCACGCCGGCGGCAAGTGGACCATCTCGTCGGGCTTGGCAGAGACCGCGAACGAGTGCGCCTTCATGAACTCGACGCCCGCAGCGGTGTTCGAGAACGAGTCGAAGTCCGCCAGCGCGATGCCCGTCTGCAAGAGCGGCTCCATGGAGACCCCGTGGACGAATATCCGTTGGTCACCGATCGGTTTGATGACGCATGCGAGCCCTGCCAACGGCGCGCAAGCTGGTGCACTGCGACGGTGGCCCTCACGAACGCCCACGATCCAAGGCTTCGAGCCATGCATGTCGATGTCCTCCAGCGTGGTGCCGTACATCGAGGCCCCCTCCAGGACGAACCCATCACCGCACGTGCCACATGCCCCTGCCCACTTGTCGTTCTCCGTCATGGTGCTCTCGAACGTCTCAAGCTCGGTGATGATCACGCCCTTGTCGGTGTCGAATATTCTCTTGAAAGGCGAGTCGACCGCACCCGTCCAGTGCACGACGTGCGAGCAGGCGAACTCCTCAGGGCTGGGGTCGACGGAGAAGCACGCGCACTTCGGCGCGAAGATCTTCGCCTGCTGAACTGAGTCGCCCTTCGCGTCTGTGTTGGCCAGATGCGTGTCCCCGACGCTGGCCGACGCTGGCCGTGAACACGACATCGACCAGCAAACCCGCCAAGAAATTCCCGTGCTTCTCGGAAAAGGTGCCGTTCAGGAGTTTGGTTGCGATCTGCGTGATCTGCCATCGTCTGTTCATGTAAGCCTTGCGCTGCTGGGTGACTGCCTTCCCCTTCTTCTGCGTCGTGACTGACACCACCTCAGAGATGGTGACTTCCAATGCACTCAGCTTCCCGCGCAGCTCGTTCTTCTGGCCCTCCAGCGCCTCCAGCTCGGCGCGGCGAACGCTCTTGCTCTTACCGATCAAGCCCTTGACCTCGGTCTTCAGCGCCTCGATCTTATGCTCGAGGTCCTCGTGGCCATCAGGTAGCCCATCTGGTTGCAACTCGCCTTCGAAGGCGACGCCCTGGGGCGCGAACCCAGCCGAGGCGGAGACTCACTCATCGTCGTCGTCGTCGTCGTCGTCGTCGTGTTCTTCTGAGGGAATTTCTGCCCGCCTCGCGGGTGCAGAAATTCCTTCGCCGTCGTCGTCGTCGGCGTCGTCGCGCCCCGAGGCGTCGCCTTTGACGGCCCTGCTGATGTCCACTCGGCACTGCGCCAGCGTGGTCGCGATCCCCTTGGAGCCCGCAATCTTGTCGAAGAGCTTCTCCGAGTCCACCAGCAGCTGCTCCTTCTCGTTGATGAACTCCGAGCTCGCTGTCGGTGGCGTTGGAACCTTATCCTTCTTGACCTTATCAGGTGGGCTTGCCGCAGGTTGCATCTTAGGCTCGGGCTCCCCCTCATCTGCATCAGCGCGCGCGTGTCCTGCAGCTCCACCAGACGAGAAACTGCGGGAGCATGGCCTCGGGCGGAAGGTGGACTGAAGCGACCCCCCAGCAGCGCTGTCGGCCGCATCGGAGTCGGCACCAAGCCTGGTGCGGCGCCTCGGGCGGTCACTGTCGGCGTTGCCGTCGTGGCCATCCGTCGGAGTAGTAGCGCGCTGGCCGCGTTTGTGTGTGACCCCCTTGCCCTTCCTCACCATTGCGTTGCCCTCGGTCTTTACCCTCGCGACCTTGTTCCCGTGCCTGTCCGTAGTGTCGTACTTGCCCTTCTGCTCCTCGTGCTCTTCGTCGAAGTCCTCGTAGGCCGTGCCTGACCCGACGTCGCCCCACCACTTCCTGTAGTTCTTGTAACGGGTGCGAGTCAGAATGTGCTGATCATCGAGCTGCATCTCACTGTCGACTTGCATGGTCTCCGTGACATTCACTTGGTCGCGGACGGCCGCCCGAGCTTGAGCCCTGCTCGAGGAGTCGGCGCTCAAGAACGGCGTGACGTTACCTCGCCACTTCTCGGGCTCCTTGATCATGTCCTTGTCGTCCTGCTGCTGCAACTGGGGAGAAGCCTTGGCGTTGCGCTTCCTCGATCTCACAGCGTTCCAGCAGGCGGCCGAGTGAAGCCAAATGCCCTTGTGCTGTTTGTCCGCGCCTGGGGCCAAGCACAAGTGGCACTGGCGAAGGCCCACGCAACTGATGGCGGCGTCTCCGTCGAGGCTGTCCAGCCCAGCTTCCGACATGCCCCGGCACCTGACCGAAATGGCCTCGCTGGAAGATGGCAAGCCACAACACTTGAGCCTAAATGGCTACGCGTGGAAAGCTTATCCCTTCTCTCCTCCTTGTGCTTCCATATCCCCATGCACCCGTCAGCTTCTCGCCAATCTCTCTGTCTGTCGAGGTCGAGTCGTGGCCCCTGGGGCCCAGCTGCAGCGCGCGCTCTCAAGGGCCCGAGGGAGCGGGGGAGGGGAGGGGGAAGAAGAGGGGGCATCATGACCAGAGAAAGACGCAGAGAGGCGGAGGAGAGGAGGAGGAGAGGACGGCGTTGAGAAGGAGAAGGAGGGGAGCAAGAGAGGACAGGAATAAAGGATAGGTGGACGCTCATCTGTTACGCTTCGCAGTGCTACCCGCGACGCGCGTGCAGCTGGCGAAGTGCTGGGCTGGCGCGCGCGAGTCTACCGATGCGAAACCGAGGGGTATCGGGGCACCGGAGCACCGAGCAAAGGCCGAATACAAACTAACAGCAGAGGAGTCGCAACCGTCGGAGCAACGATAGGCTCTAGCTGGCTACAACATACAAAGAAAGCTGTGCTAAGGAAGCGCACCAGAGGCGGCTGCAGCCGTCTACAGAGCAATATGGAACATGAATGGGTGGCTGCAGAGTATGCTTCGAACCTATCGATACTCGGGGGCGCCCTCCTCCCTCCGCAGCATGTGAAAGCGGTTGACTAGCTCGCGCGTCTCGTCGAACATGCCATTGACGTTCTGGGCGAGGTCCTGGAGATCCAGAAACTTCTTCTCCAACCTGTACAGAGCATTGAAGATGTCGTTCGCCCCTGGGGGCGGGTCGCGATTGCCAGCAAATTCGCGAGTCACGGGCAACAGCACGGCACTGGTGAAGTTAGCCCCGTAGCTCAAGGACATGGCGAGCATGGCCCTCTGAACCAAGCTAAGATGAAAATCTATCTGGTTCATCATGGCAGTAGCCATGGCCTGGCCGCGCCTGAAAGGTGGTGAACGCTGGCGGCGTGGAGGAGATCGGGACCGCTCTCGCTGTTCTTGCCCTTGCGGCTCCGACTGCGACTGCGGATGCTCCTGAACCGCTTCCTCTGGAGTCTCAAGACTCATGTGATGAAATTCAAATGCGGATGTACGTAGTAGAACGAAGGATGCAAGCGCGGGCTTGGGCCTAGACGGCTACGGAGACAGCGTGGGGAGGAAGGCCCATTGCAACATGGTCGCCGCAATGCCTGTTTGGTTGAGGAGCGTGCTTACTTTGCTGTGTGTTAACACTCACTGAGCCCACAGCGATGCTTGACCGACGTCACCTCAGCCATGAGACACGGCACATCAGAGCTGATGTTAGGACGACCTTGGACTTTGGGCTTGTCTGAGGTAGTTCGGGCTCAACTCTCAACACGTGTCTCAACATGGTCTCAACTTGGTCTCAACATGGTCTCAACATGGTTTCAACATGGTCTCAACATGGTCTCCACACTCAACACTTGTCTCAACAATGTCCCAACATGGTCTCAACATGGTCTCCACACTCAACACGCGTCTCAACGCTTGTCTAAACATGGTCACAACATGGTCTCAACACCCCCTCTGGTCCTGGATGCGTTACCGTGTCAACACTCTAACTACAAGCATTGTACTGCATAGGTCCTACACACACCTTTCGCTCATTATCAACAATGACGCCGTGTATGGCGTTTCCCAATGACACGGCACTCAACGCGCACCCCTTGTACATTGTCCGACGATACACACAAGCCCCCCCTTCACAAGGCCTTCCCTCCACCCGCCCTAGACGGTCGGCACCTGCGAGTCGACCGACGAATCGGCGCAAAGCGCGCTGAGTCTCTGCGAGCAAGGGCGCCTCTGGACGAAGGTCAACTCGGGGGGGAGGTTGAGGAGAAGCGAATAAAGAGACAGACTGGAAGAAGGAAAAAAAAAACACTTGAGGGAACCCACTTTCTTTCATCACAAGGAATCCCGATATGCCCTGATCTGGGCAGCAGTCGGGATGAAACAGCGGTGCCTCTCCAGAGGCATACCTGGCGCAGCAGTGGCCCACGCCCCCAACCAGTACATTGGGGCGAGTGGCCCATATTGGGCAACTCCAGTACCGTGCGCCTTGAAATCCCTACAGTTCGCATGCACGGGGCATCTGATGCGGAACCCACCAGACCCCCCTCCTGCGCCCACGTGGGTCTCACGGGCGACTTTCTGCCCACATATGTACTCAAGCCAAACAACTGCGGCGGGGGCGTCGACATAGATGTCACCCCCTGCGATGGCTGGCGCAACCATGTGCGCTGCTGGCGCTGCTGGCCCCTCTGGAGCCACTGGCGGCGGAGGCACCGCCACCGCGATCACAGGTGCACCTGGCAGCGGCGCCGCGGGGCAAGTCAGGTCAACCTGGATGGCGCCACCGCCAGCCTCTAATACTTCCAACCTTTTCGAATACTCAATGGCGGGCAAGTGCTCTGGCACGCGCACATTTGACCTGAGGAGAGACTTATAAAATTTCTCGCTGCGCCCGCTGCTGAGTTGCACATTCCCTGCCGCCCACGCCCGGTCTATCCCTAGAAGAACTTGCAAGTATGCCCTCTTGGACAACAGATTACGGTTACCATAGACCCACCAGCCTCTGCGAGGCAAACCGACGGGGGAAGCGCCCGCGGCGTGAATTCCATATGTTTTTCCCGTGCGGCCCCCTCTGATGAGTCAAAAAACGACTTGTGATGTCAAGCTTTTCGCGTCGGGGCCCTTGCCGCGCATTCACCGCCAACGCGCCGAGGCGAGGGCTCCAACGCAAATATTGACACCCCCCTGGGCGTTTGACTCATCAGGGGGGGGCCGCACGGGAAAAACATGGGAAAATTGCCGTCGTCGTCGTCGTCGTCGTCGTCGCCGGGGGGGATTCCAGTGGTCCCGCGTATCGTCGGGGACCCCAGTGGCCCCGCATATCGTCGCCCCCCTCGTCGCCGTCGTCGTCGCCATCGTCGTCGTCATCGTCGTCGCCGTCGACGTCGTCGTCGGGGGGGGGTCCAGTGGCCCCGCCTATCGTCGGGGATTCCAGTGGTCCCGCATATCGTCGCCCCCCTCGTCGTCGTTGTTGTCGTCGTCGTCGTCGTCGTCGTCGGGGGGTTCCCAGTGGCCCCGCATATCGTCGCCCCCCTCGTTGTCGCAGTCGTCGTCGCCGTCGTCGCCGTCGCGAACGGCATTGGCGAAACCTTTATGCAGCATTCGATATTGCAAGTATGTCGTGCAAGGCCCGCGGGGGCCCGAATCACGCAGGGCATCTCGGGCCTCTCTGGAACCTCTTGGGGGCTTGGCAAAACCTACATGCTGAGCCTCTCTAGGCGGCTTGCCTGGGGCCCCCTCGGGCCCCCCTGCCGTCCTCGCCAGGCTTTTCCACGGGGCTCTCTGTCGGCATCGTTGGTGGCCATTGCAGGGTCCAGGCGCAGCAGGGGGTGGCGGGGCCAACAGCACATCTATTTGTTCGGCTCCACCTGGGTCAGGGACATGGACCACGCGGCGCGCCACGCCTGTGTGCCCCTGCTGCCCCAAAGCATCGGCGAGGCAGAGAATTGGCATTGCATTGTGCCCAAGATTAAGCGACGGCTTGGCCAAAGTGGGGGGCGACAAATTTACCTGCCCGTCGTGCGTGGGCGGCATTGAGCTCCATGCGAACACTGAGCTCCTCAAGGTAGGAGTCGCGTGTAGATTCGACAAGAGGCGAGAATCGCATGGGCCCGAAATATGAAAAACTTGCATCTCAGCTGGGCAGGCGCCTTCAACGATATCACCACCATCCAAAATTCTATACTCAAGCAACGTCCGGTCTCGCTGCTTGATTGGCTTACTTAGAGCAGTCTTGATGGGAATATCTGCGTTCCCCTTGGAAATAACTTGAAAGGCGCGAAGCGGCACAGCAGCGCCTGGCGCCGATGGGAACGATACGAACGAATATAGCGGCAGCGATTCCAAGAAGTATTGATCGAGCAACTTGTGATCATCTGAGATCCCGCCCTCGCCCTCATCCTCGTCGACGGCGTGGGCCATGAGTGCATCACCCCCCGCGCCTGCTACAGCTGGACCTCCTCCGTCAACGTCGACATCATCTGCATGCGCCTCTAGTGGCGGCAGTGGCGCGGGGCGGTGGGCTGGCCAGTCGATTGGGTCAAAGGCCCGATCTAGCTGGCACACCCTCTGGGGGAACGCTCTTCTCTGGCAACGGCGGCCGCGCCCTGTGCAATCTGCCAGGGCACCCTTGTATGAATTCCACAGTTTTTGTCTATCAACCTCCACTGCCTCGCACAGGTCAAAGTCACGCAAATTCTGGTTGAGTCTGGCACTTCCTGCGATCCAACCCCACTTCGCTGCTCTGTTTTTGCGGCAAATCCTTGAGACTTGAACACGCGGACCTTCTCCTGGCTTGCCGTCCAACGGGGTATCTCGGAGGTCCCGCACGCGGGCAGCAAGCCGAGGCGACATCCCAGAGCCGTCGGCGCCCATGGCCAGCAACGCTGGGCCCTCCATCCCGATGGTATCCCTGGTGAGCTGGCGATGCATCGACGGGTCGATGCGTCGCCATTGTTCCATTATCTGATCACGGGCGCCTGCCTTGTCCATCTTGCTGAAAACATACGGAACGTGTTCCAAAAATCCGAGCTTCCTCTTGGCAGTGGCGAGAGCTCTCACATATATGCCCCCACACTGTTGAAGGAACTGCATGGCGTTTGAACGAAAATGGCCCAGTCGCCAACCCCTGCTCTCCACAACTGCGTCGCTCAGAGTCCTCACGGCGTGATCGTATGCTAAATGGATGAGCCTTGACTTCTTGTCGCAGTCGACGCGCCCCCCAGCCATGAGCTGCCCCATGTGACATTCACAACCTGACCCCCAGTTCTGCAACCCCTTCATCATGGACGCAAGCGCTGTGACGAATTGCAGCTGTGATGTCCACCCAGCGCCCCCAAGCGTCGCGCGAACCTTCCCCACCCCCGATCTTTCCTTCAGCTTGGCTATGAACTTGAAGTTCGGGAAATGCAGCTGCACCGTTTCAAGCACCTTCGCGATTGACTTGCATGCCTTCGCCAGCGTCGTCTAACGCCAGCTCGCAAAATATGACAGCGAAGCTGCCTCGATAAACTCAAAAGCGGGCACCATGTTCTGTTCTTTGAGCTCCTGCGTGATATCATCCATGTGTCCACGAAGCAAACGGTTGAGTCCCTTCAGCTTGTCCACAAAAGATGGGAACCACCTGGCGGTGTTCAGGCACGTCTGCAGAACGCCATCAATGATGTGGTTCCACCCTGGGCACGGAACTGCGCGACTAAACAAAAGATCTGCCCTGCGTGGCGTTCTCAGCGGCAAGGCCATGCCGAAATGCCGGTGCAGCTCGCGCACGACGTCAGGCATCGAAGCGATCATGCGTTCTGTTCCCAAGTCAGTGGTTATCGAGACAACCCTTGAGCAAAATGATCGGACGGTCTCGATGCGTGGCCCGACCATCAAGAAAATCTGCCATATCAGTCCAGCTGTTTTCCCGAAAGCGTTTCGCACCCGTGAACCGATGTGCAGCAATGGGAACAACCTGCGCGTGACAGATCGCCGTCCGTCGGAGTCGTGGATAACAAGGTCAAATGAACTCACCAACAATTCTTTTGATCTCCACTGGGGGCTTGCATCAATCCATATGAATATTGTTATTAGGTGAATCGGCAATGTCAAGAAAAAACTTTCTGAACGCCAACATCGATACTATATCAAACCTGGTTCGCGCCTGTCGTAAAAGTTCTCTGTTGGCTTTCTGCATCTGGGCGCCGTGTGCAGAACCATCATCTTTGCCAATGATAACCTTGCACCGCGCAAGCGCAGTGGATTCGCAAAATCGTAGGTCGGTAATGTTTTTAGTAGAATCCAGCAGCAGCACCATTGCGTCCACGTCGACGGTTGCCTGCCGACGAGGGCGCGATATG